CACCAGGGTAGCGACGTAAAAACACCGCCATTGTCAGGTATAATTAAGTCAGACTAGACCTAAGGTTTTCACTTCATAGCTCAAGACCGGGTACTCGAGAAGCACCACCAAGACAAAGTCAACCAATGTTGTCTCCTCCACTTGTCTCAATCCCAACAACAACACCAGTAGCCCAGCGTCGCCATGTTTCCTTCCAGTTCATGTTTAAGTTTTGTTCCTACTTCGGCACCAACGAAATACTTTGTCAGTGTGACCGTCTTTAGAGCATCTCCAATAGATGGTCCAAATTTTGACGGTCCAAAATCAGAGATGTAAAATTTGGACCGCCAAAAAATGCGTTTTGGAGCTCCGAAAAAAAGCCAACTCGGATGGTCCAAATTCATGGTCCAAAAGAGCAACTCCAATAGATGGTCCAAATTCATGATCCAAAACCGGCCAGCAGCCGCGCGGCTGCTATTCAGCCACTGTACAGCCGCACATATTGCATAAAACATGTTTTTAAACAACATTAAAAAAAATTCATGTCCACAATATCAAATTATTACATTGGGGAATTCCGTCGAACACCTTGTGCGCGCGGTGGAAGAAGATGGCCGCCGGTTGGATTGGCTGCTGCTGATGGCCGCGGACGGCTGTGGTCGGCTCCGGACGACGGCGGTGATAAGAAATGAGCTTGGAGGCCGGCCAAGAGGAGCTCGGCGGGCGGCGAAGAATAGTTTGGCAGCCGGGCGGAGGGCTTGGTGCGGCAGTCGTGCGGCTGGCGCAATAGCCGTGGACAGGCTCACGGCCGACGGGGAGGAGGTCGGTGGCAGCCTAAGACCCGGCGGAGGCCTACCACGGCAGCCGGACCGCCAGAGGCGCCGAATCCCGCGGCGGCTGCCTCCCGAATCGGCGGCGTCCGGGCGGCTGCGAGCCGGCTATCGGCGATGGCGGCGGCGGCGGGGATGTGGGGTGGTGGCGGCGCCGACGGCGGATTCCGGCCGGCTGGTCTTCGGGCGGGCGGACGGGCGTGTGCGGGAAAGGAAATGAAGTGGCGGTTGGGCGTTCGCGGGCGGCGGCTGGTTTTGAACCAGATGCACCTCGTGATGTAAATTTGCACCGCAAGGTGTTGTATTTTACATTACGAGGAGGCCGCGGTTCAATTTTTTTTGTATATTGACGTCTGTTGGAGCATCATTTTTTGCACCAGACGGTCCAAAAGTTAGATACTTTTACATTTGAACCATCTATTGAAGATGCTCTTATGATTAGACATATCAATAATTCATCATCGACTACTTTGTCACTGTGACCACAAGTCCCACGCCAGAATTTGTTCCGTGAACTCTGAAATCCAGTGGCCCAAGCAGCCAAGCTTATCGCCAGTTCGCCACCAAGGCACCAACCTACTGACATATCCAGGAGTCTCCCATCCTTGATCGGGAAAAGAAAAAGATCTACTTAAGAAACGCAAACCAATTCGACTGCGATAAGATCAGTCGGCACGGATTCACAACCAGGGGAAGGCATCCGCCCCCCATTCCAATGCACCGACGTTGACACGCCGCCCATGCATGCATATGTCTCTCTCCCAGCCCTTGACCGTGTGCTCGAGCAGGAGGGCCCCGCGTCTCGCACCTCTACCCATCCTACCCTCCTCTCCTGCGCCGACGACGAATGGCCACCCCGCCTCAGCACCCCCGCCACCCCGTGCAGCTCGCCTATAAGAAGCAACGTACACGATGCTAACAAAGTACCTCTTCAAACACAGCCACACAAGCTAGACTGCTCCTCACTAGTCACTAGTATCAAAAGTTCAGAACCTCCCAGTTAGCAATGGCAAAGTGTGTCGCCGTTGCGCTCCTGCTGCTGGTGGTGCTCGCGTCCTGCGACGGGAGGGAGCTGAACCAGAAGGACCAGGCACTCACAACGGCACGCGGTGCCGGCGTCGCCGAGTCCAAGGCTTCTTCGGGTTCGGGGTTGCCAGACCTGCCGGTTGTGGGAACCGGAACCAGTACCATTAACGGCCCGCTGGTGGTGATTCCTGGGGTCCCTTCTCACCCATGATCATCTCTAGTTCATGTTCTGACCTACATACATACGAGCTGAAGCTGAACTTGTGGGATTTAGACTTCTATAGCTGACATCGCCGGGAAGAAAAACACCGGCGTCTCGCTCATGCCCACGTTCCTTAATGAGTGTCTGTATCTGTATTTCCTCTCAGTCCATGTCTCTATTTTTCGCTCCTTTGTGTGCTACATGTACGTACCATCAACGTAATACATAATACTTTGTCAGTGCGAATGTGTGATCGTCTTCTTGAATAAACATACCCTATCAACAGGTTGCATCATCGATCGTACCACTCTCTAATCACAAAGTCCCAAGTCCAGAGTCGTTCTGTTAAAAGAACCAGCAAGTTTTCGTTGAGGTAACACCAATGCTTTGAAAGAGGTAAGGTGATTGGATTAATAGGGACATGCATTGATGCATGGTTATCTCTCATCAACTCTTTCGGGTTTGGAGTTTTCTTGGTCTGCGTGGATGGAGCTTCACGACATTATAGTGAGCAATCAGTGTGCATATACATTATGGTAGAGCAATTCCCAGGCCTTTTTTTTGCAACTAATTAACTGCAATTTCTTAAATTTATGCATACCATATGATATATGTAGACCCCAACCAAATTTTAATAGTTTATTCGGGTTTGGGAATTCAAATTGGTATCAGAACCGACTTTCGCGGCTACACGAACGTGTGTAGGAGCATGTGGCGCATGGCACGTGTGGTCCATTGTGACTCATGGCATGGCACACGTGCCAGACTGGATGCACAGACGTGTACTAAGAGGGAACATTCCTGTTGGGCCGACGAGGACGTCAAGCTCCTTTGAGTGAAGGTGTATATGAGAGCCTGACTTAATAGGAATGATAGACCTCTCGTATCAACAAAAAGTTCCTTCTTTTTGGGGAGGCCACTCGCAAAGAACTCCAAAGTTAAGCGTGCTAGGTTTGGAGCGATTTGAAGATGGGTGACCGACTGGAAAGTTGGTCTTGGGTGCGCACAGTTGAGAAAAAAAAATGCGCAGAAAAGACTAGTATTGGTCTGCGAGGTCAGTCAAGATTCCGCCAGGCGTAATGGCTAGCAACCGGTGGATGTGGCCGGAGTGTTACACTAGGCCTCAGAGGTTTTACTGCAGTTGATGGTAATGACTTTTAAGCGGAGGGCTTACTCTCTTTTGGCATGAAAGTTTTGTGGGTGATATTCTTGATAAAGACAACCATAGATGGATGCAATAGTTAGAGTGCATGTAGAGGAAGAGTAATGGAGGATAACCTGTGTATACAGGGAGCCGAGAGTTGAAAATCGTCATATTATGTGGCCAAAATTACAAGCCCTAAAGTTGGTTCCAGACTTACCTTGGTTAGTGATTGGAGATTTTAACGAAGCCTTATGGGATTTTGAGCATATGTCGGCCACTCCTCGTCCATAACCTCAGATGGTTACTTTTAGAGATACTCTAGAGGTGTATGGGTTGGTAGACCTAGGTTGCACTGTGGTTCCTTTCGTATACGATAATACGTGCAGTGGGTATGCTAATATAACACAAATGTTCGTTTAAAGCAAGTGGTTGCCTCTAATTCGTGACGAAACATGTTTGCATTTTGCTCTGTCCAACACGTGGCGTTGCCGTGCTCTGATCATGAGTCCGTGTTCTCAAAGGATCTCTAGATTAGGGTAGAGTAGGACCTCAATCTCGGAGGTATGAGGTTTTTTGGGAGAGGGGACATGATCAAAGAGGCCCGAGACTCTGCAGGCAGTTGTTCTCTCTTCATGAAGCTCTAGAAGCGGAACTTTGTGCTTGCATGAAAGGGTTACCTATGGCTCTCTAGCGCAGCGATTCACCTATAATCATTGAGATGGACTGCTTAGTTGCTGGATCTTGACAAATCGACCTATTATTCTATTGTGAAGGAACTCAGACATCTTAGATTCTTAGGCCTCTCTGTGAATCTTGTATTACTCATGTTAGTCATCACTATAATAAAGTCAGGGATTGTTTAGCTAAGTTTACTTGATTGAAAGGTAGAACCATGACTTGGCTCGGTTTTGGGTGTCTAGAAGTCCAGATGCTGTTGAGCTAGCTTTGGCTGATTGTAAGAACATTATGGTTGAGTAATATACAAGTTTTTCACTCTAAAAAAGATACTCCATCTGGATGTACCCCTCTAACCTCTTTCTTCTCGCGCCATACGTAAATGAATACGACACAAGTTTTTATATGTATAATCAATGTGCACAAGGTCCTACTTGTGAGAACAATTTGGCACCACATAAGCTTACGAAAGATCGTAAATTTGACACCCATGCCAGGCATAATTTACATAGTCAATTTGGTATTTGGCACGCCGTGGCTGCCCTTCTCGGCAGGCAAACCAAGTCTTAAATGGAGTGCAGAGTCCTTGTTAGAAATGGATAAAGATGGAATGAAACGTACCAGTCAGAGGCTCTCTTCACCACCACTTGGGATAACAAAGATCCTAAAACCATCGACACAAAATTGGAATGGGAAAACTAGATCTTGCATCTGTGTTGAGCAGCTCACATTTCCCATCCTTGATCGGGAAGGAAATATCTACCCAAGAAAAGCAAACCAATTGACTCACCTCGACTAGCTACCTGGCCTTCTCGACTGCGATGAAAAGAGGCAGGACGGATTCGCGGACAATAATTCCATCCGCCACATTCCAATCCACGGACGTTGACATGCCGCCATACTTGAATGCCTCTCTGCCGCCCGTGACCTGAGTGAGAAGGACGGGCCAGCAATTTTGCATGTCGCACTCTACCTATTCTATCCTCCTCTCCTGCTCGGACGAGGCACGGCCACCCCGCCACCCCGTACAATTCGCCTATAAGAAGCAGCGTACACAATGCTAAGCCTAACCTCACTCCAAGACAGCCACACAAGCTAGACTATCTCCTCAGTAGTATTACCAGAGCTAGCCTCCCAGTTAGCAATGGCGAAGTGTCTCGCCGCCGCGCTCCTGCTACTGGCGGTGCTCACGTCCTGCGACGGGAGGGAGCTGAACGAGAAGGTTGCAGCGACACGCGGTGCCGGCGTCGGCGAGTCCAAGGCGATGGGGTTGCCGGACTTGCCAGCTGTGACTCTCCCCACGGCCCCGACGCTCCCGACGCTCCCCACACTCCCGATGCTCCCGACGCTCCCGCTGGTGGGAGCCATTACCGGTACCAGTACAATTACCGGCCCGGCGGTGGCGCTTCCGGCGATCCCTGCTCACCCTTGATTATCTCTCTACCTGTACGCACTGTCCGGAGGGAAAAACATCGGCGTTGCGCTCATGTCCATGTTCCTTCCTTGATGAGCGTCTGTAACTCTGTATTTATCTTCAGTTAATGTTCTTGTATTTTTCGTTCCTTGATGTGCTACATGTATCATGGACGTAATAAATACTTACTTCATCAGCGTGATCCCCTTCTTGGATAGACACATGAACAGGTTGCAGCATCGACGTACTACTACTTCGTCACTCTAATCTTCTTCTTTTTTGACTCGAATCACCTAATCGCAAAGCCCCTTGTCCAGAGTTGTTCTGTTAGAAAGAACTATGTCACCTAATCTGAGTTGTTGCAACGTTGAATCATTTGTATTTTGAATTTGTTTGCATTGTTGAGTTCTGTCTTGATCGGGGGCATTATTTTGCTTGTGTTTTGGCAGTGTACCTCAATTTTTTTTTGATATTTAACTTGAGAATACCCCGCGTCGGGAACTAGTTGATAACATGACAACAAAAAGTAAGTACTACCGCAGAGTACATAAGAATTCTCTAGTTAACAAAAAAAAATAAGTATTCTGTGGTAGTACCTAAGAGAGTCATCCACACTAACTTGTGATTGACTTCTAACCTTTTGCTTTTGAGGAAATTCCCATTTTTGGTAATTCCCTTCTGGGGAACTTTCTAGTATTATAATACCAGGTTAAAAAAAATTATGGACGTACTTTCACAAATTGAAACTTTTGAGTTTTTTTTACTTTCAAAGTTTTGAACTTCCAAGATACCAACTTCTATAATTTGACCATCCATTAATTTGAATTTGGAACTTCAAGTTCAAAATTATGGACTTTTGCAGTTTTGGTCTGAAAAATGTGACTTTTAGAATTTTGAAAACTTCGCAGCAAAAAAGTGTCTGCGAGAGGTACGGTCATCTCGTGCTCGCGGTGACTGCATAAGTGAGCACCAGTGAAAGGAGTCCCTTTTCTTTAATACAAGATGAAACTTTTATATTATGTGTCACACGTCTATCCGAAAATACAAGGGTCGTCCTATCTTCCCATTATCAATTTATTTGATCACTTCTAGGCCACGATCCAATAAGCCACCAAACCAATCACACATAACCTAGAGCTTTTCTTTAGGTAAATAAGCTA